TGAAATCAAGAGTGGACTCTTATCCAGGTCATGGTTTCCTACTGCATAGAGGTCCACATTACAGGAACTTAGGGTGCATTCAGGCACATGAACTCGGGGCAGTTTTTAACAATGTATGCCATAGTGCAAAGAGAATGAACAAAAAAAATGATCTTTGAGGATTCACATTAAACCCTAAATAAGAAATATGTCTATTGTGAAACAAGCATCTTTTCAGAAGCAAGATCTTATATCTTGTTACAATATAAAGAATTAATACATGCTTTTGGCTAATCTTTTTTTAATAAGAATTTTTTTAAGGAATAAAGTTCTAGTCCCCTATGGTGTTTAACAAAACTGGTGAAAAACTGTATTTGGCCTAAATGGTGAGGCTTTTCTGCTTTGTTTTTTAAAGAGAGAAATTTTTAGAGGGCAAGGAAAAGATACCTAATTGTTATTGAGATATAATTTGTGACCTCTGATGTGGAGCAGTTATACCCACTGTGATGCTATGCTATTTTATGAAATCATTGTAATGCATGCAACAAGATAATTAAATCAAAATTTAAGTGTTTACATAGGGATGTAAGTCATTTAGCCAGAAGAGTTCTGGTAGCTGGCACCACAGGACAGAGAAGCCTTAAAGGGCAAATGCTTTGACATTCTAAATAGCCAATTTCAGGACTAAGGAACTAGTTTGTGACACTATAGCTCACTGGAAAATGTCCTCATTGATATAATTTCTAACGGAATTTAGAGCAATACTAGTTGTAAACTTTCCAGTCTGAATACAGTGATTCCAGTTCACACATTTAACTGTTGTGATTTGTTGATTCTGCTTAAAAGCACATATGAAGCCAGGCACAGCGGTGCATCTTTATAATTCCAGAACTCAAGAGTCTGAGACAGGAGGATTGTTGCAAGTCTCAAGAAAGCTTGGGCTACTGACTGAGTCTCTCTTACATCTAACCAGAAGGAAAAGGAAAATTTAACAACTGACCATATGCACATGGGAAGCAAAAAGTTCCTAGTGTGGTATTGACCACTTTGCACTTCAGACCTTAAGGCAGTTAGTGTGCATTTATCTGGATTGACATAAAAATGACAGACTTTTTCCTCCAGAAAATATCTGTTGAGCATCTATTATAGTATATCAAGAAGGAATGGAATCCTTGAAGCAAGGAGCTACATCTACCCTGCTTGTTGCTGCCTTCCCAGTATTAGTTGATATGCCGATTAGAACATGACAAGAGTCCAGTGATACAGATCAGAACACAGCATTGTAGACAAATTCCTGTGGGATCACAGTAGGAGGAGATAAACTCCAGGTGGAAAGAACATGGAGGAATGTCTTTGAAAGGCAGCTTGAATTCCAGGTAGAAGTGTATCAAGCCAAGAGCAAGGAGCATTAGTTTTCGTATACGCCAGGTTTGAATAGTTCAGTGTACTGGGGAGCCAGGTAGCTGTCGGTGCACGAGTGAGGTGGTCTTTGTGGGGACATGATGAGAACACCCCCGTCTGAATGCAGGCAGCCTACTCACTGTTGCTAAGTGCTGCCATCCACAAAGAAGTCAGGAGACAACGCTGACCAAGGAGGTAAGGGAAGAAGGGAAGCCAGGTATCTGGGTTGTCTCTCCCATTTTGAGGATTGGTGAGCCGACAGGAGATGTGCTGCGCCTTTTGCTTTGTTGCCACCTTGGAAAACTTCATCTCCTTGTGTGGGAAATGATCCATGCATGTCTCACTCTCCAGAGAAATGACATCACTGAAGCATAAATCCCTTCAGCATTGCTGTCTGTGTTATTTATACAAATCCCAATTGCATGTTAAAAAGGAAAAAAAAAAAAGCTCAAAATTAGAATTCCCTATTTCAAATGACCTCGTAAGATTAAAAAATTTAATTCCCGTTTTACAGTTTTTGCCCTTTCTGAAATGTTAGCCACACTATTTAAGCACTGGTTAGCCTTTAAAGAGCCTTATTTTAAGACTTTGAAGAACTTCCGTTGGCTTGCCTTGAAAAACAGTTGCTAATAAGCCATTTTATCACAGGCAGTGAGGTTGGCTGAAAGTAATAGACTATAGCAAGGAGGGATTTCATAAAACGATAACATAAAAGTCCTTTAACCTTGTATTTGTGCACAAAGGCACCTTTAAGGGTGTCTGCAGTAAGTGCTGTATTAAACACAGAAGTTTGGTTAATTACAGCCACCATTCTCACGTATCTTAGCTGAGTGTGAATACCAAGCGATTTAATGGTGTGCCCCTAAGCATTAATACCTAATGAAACTGGATGCCTTGTTTCCTCTAATGACCTCATTGCTTTTCGAAATATGGTCATGGCAAGTAAATGATCAATAGCCTTGAAATTGACACCGTCACTGGACTGTAGCTGAATACCCTGCTTATTAAGGATGGTGTGTGAGTTACACCCTATGTGGCAGGAACGGTCTTGTATAATGTAACAAGAATGCTTTGCCAGCTGCCTGTAGAAAAATGTGAACTATCACTGATGGCAAAGCAAGAGCTTCGTGTCCAAGGTGCACCATTCTAATCACGGTAAGCTGGATTTGTGAGCTGAGGGACTGAGGACGTGGGAACTAAGGAGACCTGCTTCTCTTCATAGGATAGCGGAGACAGTATGTGGCCTACCTATCGGTTTCCTGGGGCTACCATCACAAATGACCTTAAGGAAATCATTCTCTCACTGTCCTGATGGCCAGAACTTTAAAAATCAAGGTCTTTACAAGGTTCCGCTCGCTGCCGCTGAAGCTTCAAGGGAGAATGGCTCTCAGTCATACCAGCTTGTAGTGATTGTGAGTTGTTCATGACTTGTGACAGCGTGTCTCCCAACTCTGCAGGGGTCCTGTGGTCCCCTTCCTTCCTGCCTGTGCTTTCCCTTTGTGAACATATGAGAAAAACATCATTATCCAACAGTTCAGAATCCACTTGTATAGCCGATGTGATGCCCTCTTTTCAAGCCCTCAGCTCAGTTACCTCTGCAGAGTCATAGTCATAGGTTCTGAGGATTGAGGATTGAGTCAGTGAGGTTGTCATTTATTTTATTACGTCTTCATTTTTACTATCATCATTTTTAGTGAAACTCAATATAACCACTGCATCAGTCACAGTATTTAGAAATTCACTACCATTTTCATTTGAGTTAATAATTTATAGTGTGTATTAGCAATTTTTTAATATTTTTAACCAACCTATCATTATCTCCCTTATGCAGATAAGGAAATTGAGATTCAAAAAAGAGAAGATTTTACCTAAGATTACAACCTAACTATTAAAAATGTCAGTCTGTGTTGAAAGCTTTGGTCATATATGTGTATATGTGCATATCTTTCTTTAGAAACCAATGTGTCAGGTCTTCAAGATGAATTTTCCTCATTAGAGTTTGACCTCTGTGTTCCCCTGGGTCACATAATCTTGCATAAAATCTAGAGCATTACTTCCTATTTGAATGTAGGAACAGCTCGCCAAAGTAGTGATTTGAAGGATGAGAGCCTCAGCAGGAGAATCAAGTTAGGGCCACTTCACTGAAGGCTGTCTTCCAATACCCAAGTACCAAATACGGGATACCTTATCCTGAAATAGATTTTTAAACATGGTTGTAATTATACCATAAACAAGGCTTGAGAACACACACACAAGGACAGTTCAGTTGGAATCTTGTCTCCTGCATCATTATTATTGAGTGTGCTGTTACAGTATTTTTCCTTCTCCACTCCTCCATTTTCCTATTTGTAAATGGATGATAACAGCTTATTAATGAGCTTTAATAAACAAATGACATAACAATATGGTTAAATAGCCCATACTTTAAAGTGTAGACTCAATATAATTGTTGCTCATTATTGGTTGTAAGTATTTTACACAAAAGGCAATCGTGAGAGTGTCAGTAGAGTTTTAGCAAGCCCCAAATAGGTCTAGGGGCAAGAGTTTCGGAGAGTTCATGTTACTGTGCAACTATGCTCAAATTAATAGGATTTACTTTTTCGAAAATGTTCTTCTGTCTTTTCCCTTCCCGTGGACACCATTTCAATGCCTCTCCCTTTGCAGCTCTTTCCCACCTACTACGTTATTTATTCTTTGGGAATGGGGATTAAATTTGACTTTCTACAATAACTCTAAAGGTTTTCTAAGCTAGCTTTAGATTTCCAAGGTAATGGGATCTGTAATTGAGCCTGAAGAAACAATTCATATTCATGAGCTCTGTCAAGAATACTTGAAACTGGTGTCTGTTGAGATGTTTACTATTGTTTTTAAAAAGCTTATTGTGACTTACAGTCCACCGATAAAGGATTAGAAGAATCAGAACACTGGTACCTTTTGGCTCAAAGTGGACATTGTCATCTGCATGCCAATTTCAAATAAAAGCGCCTTACAGCTGTCTAATTATATTAGATTACTTCTCAGTTCCTTTATATTCATGTCATAGCTTAAACATTTGCAATATGTCAGTATAGCAGAGAATAAGACAATCAAGGACTCTCAGTCATTTATTGTTGCTTTTTTTCATTTGCTGGTTTTCTTTGCTAATTTTAAATTTATGAACCTCATATAAAACAGCATCTTTCTTCATGAAAGTCAATGACCATAATGAAGATTCATTAATGTGCATTGCTGATAGACTTGAGACATTAACATTATCATCTATTGTTTCATAGTTTTATTTATGAGTAAATGTTATCACATGGAAGTGAAATAGATTACCTTTATGTTAAAGCATGACTCAAAGACAGAAGAATATATTCAGTTCTGGTTTTATCCCCCTCAGCCATGACTTATTTTTCCACACGTCCCTTCCAGTCAGGAAGTAAATTCATTTCTTGGCCCAGAAAGCCTATCATTGCCATTGTTTAAGGGAATATGTTATAATGGAATTGCTGTTATATAAATAGAATTCTAGTTACTGTGCTTTGATAGCAAACATGATAGCTGAGTTTTTACTTGGCCAAGAGGAAATGAAGTTGGTTCTATGAGTTGTCTCACACAGTGTCTTTTCCAACCTTCAGGTGAGCACAAAATGCCGTGGCCTCTGGTGGGAGTGCGTCACAAACGCTTTTGATGGCATTCGCACGTGCGAAGACTATGACTCCATATATGCAGAACACTCCTGTACGTATACTGTAACCCTTCCTGTGTACCAGGAGGGGTGTGCCAAGGGATCCTAAGCTCAAGTTTATGTTTGTCTGTTGTATGCTCCATAAAGGCTTTAATTTCAAATATTAACAGTTAGAAATGGATATCATTTTTGAAATGTGAATTGAAACATTATTTTATCATATTTCACCTTTCATTCTGATTTTGTAAATTACTTATGGTAGAAATATTATCTTAGCTATGAAGCAAAGGAGCTGACTCAATGCCTTATAGACAGTAGGCTTATAATAAATATTTCAGAAATTAAAACTTACCCTCTGGGTGTTGTGATTTTTATCATTAGAATTGACAACCTAGATGAATAGAATCTATTGATGTGTTTCAACTATGACTTAGCTCAAGTATAAAATTTGCTGGTGTTTTTTACTTGAAGATTTGCTAAGACAGAGTAGTAGAGACAGCGAGAGAGAGAGAGAGACAGAGACAGAGAGGAGAGAGAGAAAGAGAGAGAGAGTCAAAGGCAGAAGATGAAGAGATGCTTAAATGAGAATGCCAGCACATGTGAGGTACCATTAGCCTCTGTGTTGGAGACAACTCTTTCATCTTCCTTTCTTTTAGCGCAAAATAATACCTAGATATTAGCAAGGTCATGTTCCCATGAATAAAGCAATCTTTTAAATTAGCAATCCATTGCTGATGCCCTCAATCCTTCTCCACAGGATTGACTTATTCACTTAGAACTTTGAATCATGCCAAGAAATACCAGTCCCACTATTAAGGGAAAGGGCTATTATGCCTTTCAAAGCCAATGATTGGTGAGGGTTCCACACAGTACTGAGATAAATGAAAAGTGGGTTCTCTGGAATGTGCCATCTCCCCAAGACATCTGTTTCAGTCCAGGAAAAGCACTTAAACAGAGCATCTTCAAAACATGTTCATCTGCTATTTGAAAGTTTGGTGTCTGAGATAATTTTTGCCATAATTTATCAGGCCTTTTAATTAAACTTTTGCTTAGAAAATCATAGAACTTCCCCCTTTCCACCGTATATTAACGTTAGCTTTACACACACACACACACACACACACACACACACACACACACACGCATGCACACACAGATAAAATCTTGATTTGGCTGGAACACACATTTACTCTGAGACTTCAGAGGCAAGGGGAAAGAAGTTGGCACACACATTTACTCTAAGACTTCAGAGGCAAGGGGAAAGAAGACCCCTGAATTCAAGGCCAGCCTAGTCTATAGAGTGAGTTCCAAAACTGCCAAGGTTACAAGAAGAAACTGTGTCTCAAAAAACTAAAACTAAAACTTAAAAAAAAAATTCCTGGTTTGATGGGTAGGAATGGGAATTTATGCCAGGCTCTCATTCTATCCCAAAAATGTAATGTGTAGACAAGCTCAGAAGACAAGCATTATTTATTTCCTTATTTGTTTGTTTGTTTCTGCTTGTATATGTGTGGATTTGGACATGCCCTGGTGCAGTTGTGTGGAGGTCAGAGAGTCAGTTTCTTCTTCTTGAGTTTCAGGGCTTGAACTCGGATCTTCAGGCTTGAGAACAGATACTTTTACCTGCTGACCATCTTGTGGGTCTGGGAAGTCAAGCAAAAGTAAAAACTTTTAAAACATTAAATACTGGTATCTACAGTCATGGAAGAACTAGAACCATTCATAGGGGAAATGGCTGTTGATACTTTAAGAAGCTTCTTTTTAGTGCTTTCCATGTACGAGGCTCATGTTAATGCTTTCATGTTAGTGCTTTGTTCTTGCTTACTGTTTCCAAGTGGTCAAGAACTCCCACTAAATACATGTTTAAAGACAACAATGATAAAGATGTGTTCCAGAAAAATAACATCTCTATATCCTCTGGGTTAGGAGACTATCTATGAGAAGTAGAGATTTCTCTTCATTTTTCTATTAAATTCATAGAACTAATTTAGATAATTCCTGCAATCTGTCCTGTATGCCTAGGGTGTGTAGCCCCAGACAGACATTTGTCCTGGGGAGCTTCTCTTGTAAAAAATAGTTTAAGCAACCACAAATAAAAATATTAACTCTCTTCTGGTAGCCAGGACTCAACCCTCTCAAAGAGAAATTCTTCCATAGACAGCATAAATATTTGCTTGTAGATCTGCCTTTCTGGAGACTGACCATGGACTCAAGTCCTAGAGCTTCACAGAGACCCTCCATATAAAACAGAACATGGAAGAATCTCTACAGGAAGAGGAAACTAGAGCCCATGGAGTTATGCACAAAATCAGAATATTTCATCCTAACGGCATTAATGGCTTTGGGTGGGCCAAATTTTTCTCATTAGTAGGAGGCCCACTTATTTATGCCACAGATGGTAAAAAAGGTGTGTTGAATTAAAGGAAAATAAAAACAATCTAGCCTATAAAGTTTAATCTTTATAATCTTTCTTTTAGTTTCCTGGACATACACACACACACACACACACACACACACACACACACACACACACACGGATCATTTGATGTTTCTGAAATAATAACATTTTAAAGGTCAAAATCAAGTCTAAGGACAAATACATACCCAGGTACATCGGTAATTGTCTTGGTTTCTTTTATAGTTGCTGTGAGAAAGTTCTCTGACAAAGGCAATTTAGGGGAGGAAGGCTATATTTTGGCTCACAGTTAAAGGGTTCAGTCTACCATGGCAGGAATCAAGATAACAGGAACGTGAGGAAGCTGCTGTTCCCATCACACTCACAGTTGGGAAGCAGAGAAGGGTGCACGCTTGTGTTCAGTACACTTCAATTTTTTTTTTATACAGTCCATGACCCAAGTCCAAGAAATGGTGCCTCACACTTTTAGCACAGGTTTTACAAGTCCTGTAATCATGTTGACAGTCAGTAGTAACAATCACAATAACATATGGAAATAAAGAGTGTATTCACCTGCTGATAAGTTAGGAGGGAATTTTCATGCATTTATTTTTGTTTTCTTCTGCAGAGATATCATATATATCTTAAAATTTTAAACAGGAAAAATTTGGCTCTATTTTCACAAAAATAAACCAGAATTTTATCTCCTCTTCGGAAAAAAGTATTTAAAGGCAACAAGGTCCCAGATTATTATGAAAATAAAATATAATTAGGATATAATGAATTGGATACATATATTAATCTTTTCTATGATCCAGGTAACATAATAGCGGTGCATACCCTATTTGTGATGTAATTTCCTTTTCCCTAGTATTTAGGATCAAACACAAGGTCTTTGCATGCCAGTACAGTGTTCTGCCTCTGAGCCATAACCCCAACCTTTCTTACATAGAATTCTGTGTAGCTGCCACTCAGAGTTTTGATTCCACGGCTACAGTTTCTTTATGATAGTTTTGAATTTCATGAGAAATTATAGGCACTATATAATTGATGTCTGTATAAATATAAAACCTGAAGTCTGTGAGTAGCCTTATGTTGCTGTGTCTAATCTTGAGTTCTGTGATATTCCCAGGGGAGTTAACCTCTCTCTTTTTCTCTCTGTCTCTCCCACTTCTGGCACTGTGCTCCTCCAGTGAAGCTGGTGGTCACTCGAGCACTGATGATTACAGCTGACATTCTAGCTGGCTTTGGATTTATTACCCTGCTTCTTGGTCTTCACTGTGTGAAGTTTCTACCAGATGAGCCACACATTAAAGTCCGCCTCTGCTTTGTTGCTGGGACCACATTACTCATTGCAGGTACTGGTCTTGGTTTATTCTATTCAGAAACCCTGAGGTCCTCATCATCCTTGGGTTGTGCTATACGAATTTATCATTTCTCCACATTTAAGACAGATTATCCATATCCTGCCTCCCAACAGTGTATAGCTCATACATACACCCAGTAAATATATTTAACACTTAACATTGTATAAATTTGTTTAAGAAAGATATTTAAGAGTCCACTGAATACTGTTTTTTTTTTATTAATTCAGAAATGTAGAAATAAAAGTTACTGAAGAAAATCCTTGTAGGTATTAACAAAAGAGATCATCAAATTAAGTGGTCTGAGATAGTTAAGGATTGAAATCATTGCCTTGAATTTGTCTGCAATACACATAAATTTTTAAAGCATGCATTCTGCTTTGAAGTTTGACAAAAGGTATTTCCAAAATAGTTGGCAATTGTCACAATATTATAGAAATGGATGGTAACTTATATCTGTTTCTAATGGCTTTAATAGCTTTGGTGAAAATTATAAACGCAAATAATGTTCAAAATAGATAGTACCAACTCTTGAGGAGGGAAGATTTTTTTTTCCTCGGAGGGTAAACATTTTTTTTAAATACTCTTTCAACAAATTGCTTTGTCTTACGCTTGTCACCTTTCTCTTTTAGATCTAGCCTATAATATACAATTTGTACTTAAAATAGTAAAATCAGTGTGCTATCATTTCAAGCCACTCAATTTTTATAAAGGCTAATCTGTGGGCTATAGTCAAAATGTAAAAGAAATGCAATTTCTTGACCCATTCTGACATGGTGTGAAATATGGTATAGTAGTTACTAGAAAAGAAAGGCAGTTTTTACATGGGATTTGTTTATCTCTCCTCTCTCTGCTCCCAGCACACTGAACGGAACAGTATTGGGCACAGGTTACATGTAGGTATTTGTATTTACCTGTATGCATTTCTGGCAGAGCCTGGTTTAAAGTGAGTGTTGACTGTGTATCTGGGACACCACATATCCCAGTTAGGGTTACTATTGTTGTCATGAAACACCGTGACTGAAAGCAAGGCTGAGAGGAATGGGTTCATTCGGCTTACACGTCCATTACTGAAAGAAGTCAGAACAGAAAGTCAAACAGAGCTGGCACCTGGAGTCAGGAGCTGATGCAGAGGCCACAGAGGGGTACTGCTCACTGGTTTTCTCATCATGAAATGCTCAGACTGTTTTATTTTTTTATTTAATTTTTTTTTATTATTTATTGCAATTTATTCACTTTGTATCCCATCTATAGCTCCATCCTTGATCCCTCTTAATCCTGCCCTCCCGCCCTCTCTCCTTTATCCTCCCATGCCCCTTCCCAGGTCCACTGATAGCAGAGGACCTCCTCCTCTTCCATCTGACCCTAACCAATCAGCTCTCATCAGGACTGTCTTTCATAGTCTTCCTCTGTGGCCTGGCAAGGCTGCTCCCCCCTCAGGGGGAGGTGATCAAAGAGCCAGCCACTGAGTTCATGTCAGAGACAGTCCCTGCTCCCTTATTAGGAAGCCTACTTGGAGACTGAGCTGCCATGGTCTACCTCTGTGCAGGGGGCCAGGTTATTTCCATGAATGATCCTTTCTTGGAGTATCAGTCTCAGAGCAGATCTCTAGGCCCAGATTTTTTGGTTCTTATAGAACCTAGGACCACCAGTCCAGAGATAGCACCACCCACAAGAGTCTTTCCCCTCCCCTATCATTACTAACTAAGAAAACGCCCACAGGCAGATCTTATGGAGGCATTTTCTCACCTAAGGTTCCCTTCTTTCAGATAACCCTCGTTTCTGTGAAGTTGACATAACTGTGCAGCGCAGCAGCCTTACTTGCTGGTGTTGACTTTGTATCTGGGACAGCACAATTTGCTTTTGAGTGTTAACTGTGTATCAAGGACAACATGGTGGCATGTGGGTATTTGTGAGTGTTGGCTGTGCTTCTGGGACAGCACAGTTTATGTAAAGATGTTGACTGTGTATCAGGAATAACTTCCATCATGGATATTGGAAACACAGAACTTTTCAACAGCATTATTTTCTATTGAAAATTAAGGTCAAAGTCCCAGAGGGTGGTGGCACATGCTTTTAAAAACAGCACTCAGGCGGTAGGTAGATCTTGGTGAGTTCGAGGCCAGCTTAATCTACATACTGAGTTCCATGACAGCCAGTCCTATGTAAAGAAATCCTGCCTCTTTAAAATATTTTTTTGAGACGGGATTGAGACCAGATTTTAAAATAGAAGAAAATTAATGTATAATGAAAAAAGAAGTTCTATGTAATTTGTTTCATGTTTTCTCTGTTTTCAAATTTTGTTTTTAAATATTTTCATTTATGAAACTGTCATGAGCCACATAAGACATTCTGTTGAAGGACAAGCCATATGTATGCTGGGAGCCTCAGGAGATCATAATGGAACTAATGATTTATTTTACCTAGCTTTGCAGTAGCTGTCCTATCATCATAGCATAAAGCGTTACATATTGTGGCAGTGTTGGCACAGATGAACACACACAACTACAGCATATGCAACTTGGTGATGGTAATGTATGGAATGTTGCAAGACTGAATATTTCACATATGTTATCATTAGTTTAGAGTCTATCCATCCACTTATAGAAGTGTTTCCTATAAAGCCTTACGGCTGACTCCTGTTGCTCATGGCTGCTGCATTTCTTCACTGCATTGCGCTGCATTGTTTTTTCTTGATGTTGACCTCAATTTGGTATTGTTTTGTTTACTATCGCCTTGGAAGCAATGAGCTATGATATTTTTGTATATGTGTAAGTGCACACACACACAAGCATGACACGTAGCTCAACTGTACAGCAGGCCATCACACAAATTCCTCTGTGAAGTGACACATGGCTGTTCAAAAATAACTTTGGAAAAATGGGAAAATTGTAATAAGAAAAATCATAGTGATCATTTCAGAGTTCAACAAAGAGCTGAGCAGTGCATCATTTCATCTCGGTGTTTTGTTTTGGGAAGAGGGAAGCTGAGAGGCAATGATTGAAGCTGTCAAAACCTCTACTGTCCGTGAATCACCGTAGCGGTGTTACTGTTCTCCATGGCCCTGTGCGTTTTGAACAGTAAGCCGGCCCTTGTGAGAGAGTACCCTGACTTATTCCTGATCTCCTTCATTTCTCTCAGGTGCCCCGGGAATCATTGGTTCCGTGTGGTACGCTGTGGATGTTTATGTCGAGCGCTCTTCTCTGATTTTGCACAATATATTTCTTGGGATCCAGTATAAATTTGGTTGGTCCTGCTGGCTTGGAATGGCTGGGTCTTTGGGTTGCTTTGTGGCAGGAGCTCTCCTCACCTGCTGTTTGTACCTTTTTAAAGGTAAGAGCAAAGCGAAGTAAGAGTCTCTCTTTCACTGTCACCTTCTCCAACCCAAAGGAAACACATCCTATCAGAACAAATGCCTCCTATATCCTCCACATGTGAGCTTGTTCAAAGACAAGTGAATTGCATAAAATCAAGGTTTGTTCCCCCATAGTAGACACTAATGGAAAGGAAGCACCGAGATGTAACTCTTTCTTGCATTCAAACTTGCACTAGCGGTTTATGCACAATGATCATTGTCATGCATCCAACTTCACTAAATTGGCTAAATTTATGTTTAAGGTTAAAAGGAGAACCTGACTGAGAGCCAGTAAATATTCACTGGTAAAGAACTTCATGTATGATATCAGTTTTCCAAAAATCTACCTAAAGTACCAAGATTCCTTCATATTAAAACAAAGGAAATTATTCAGCCACATTTTCAATCTAAAAATAACCTTCAGGTTGAAATACTCAGAACTTCATCTGAGATTTAGGATTCTTAGATGATTTCAACTGAGACTCCTGTGTGTGTGTGTGTGTGTGTGTGTGTGTGTGTGTGTGTGTGTGTGT